GCATCAGCAATGGCTGTGGTAAGGGAGCTACCATTTGATTTTTATGGGGGGGCTAGGATGAAAATTTTTGTCCTGCCTTTTTATTTTCCCCTCTATTCGGTCCTGCTTTTTTATTTTTCACTCTATTCAGTCCTGCCTTTTTTTTACATCGCGATGACCTTGAGGTCATCCCGATGTATTGCTATCGCCTAGATTTCCATTATGTAAATTAGTTTTGGGTTTGTAACCGATCTATAAACATGATAAATACGCGCACATAAACGAGTGCAAAATAACATTCCTTATCGTTTGATATAAATACATCTCTTCAATGAATACTGATAAAAATATTTTTGTTTACAACATAAATTAATAATATGAAAATGTTTTGTAGTTAGATATATATATATAAGTAAAAAATCATTGATAATATCAATGCACACGTACCGAAAAATTGTGTTAAAGCATGCGGAAGAATATCTCAGAGAACGTTTTGTGAAAATACCGTCAAGGACCGGTAACTCTGTAATTGATTTTGCGGGAAAATATGAATGCCTACTCGTATCCAATCTTAGAAAAATCGAATTTTTACAGAAAAGTGTCCACCATGCACTTGCATTGCACTATTTTTAGAATAGTAGAATAGAATGATATACAAATGGATTCAAATCATATATATATGTGACTGTTATTTTAATATAATATAAACAACAACTCAGTGTATACTGATTTGTATCACTACAATATAATAGTTATTACGGTGAAGTTGAATTTCCTGTCATTTATTCATCATCCACGCACGAACTTGTCTCAGAAAAAAATATATCTGTACATTAACCTCAGTTTTAGGTAAAGAGATATGTTGTTTTTTTCTGAGACAAGTGCTTTTGACCATCCTCAAGAACTTGTGGTCATCCGATGTTCAGTACTTCAGTACTTTGATTTTAGTTTATCTTGACTTTTTTTACATAAATTGTCATCCTGCCTTTTTTTTTGCCAATAATCTCATCCTGCCTTTTTTTCCTTTTTTTTTACTCAAAACTCCTGTCCTGCCTATTTTTTTCAAATTTCATCCTAGCCCCCCCCCCCCCCCATAAAAATCAAATGGTAGCTCCCTAATCTGAATATGCACTGTTTAAAAACAGGAAAATGATACGATTTACAACTTCCGTGTGTTCATCAGGACCTTTATATAAGCTATTGTAAATAAAACACATAATAAAGTATTTCAAAATGCACTTGGTTATTTTAGTATAACCATTTTCTTGAGGTGTTTGCGAACTGTGTGTCGGTCATGCAAGTATCTATAAGGAACACACTATAAGCTTTAGTTGGTTGAATCCAGTTCGGAGTAAGGTAAGTACTGCTTAGAATTGTTTAAAATTCAGACACAGTCGATCGGCATGGTTTTAGGGCTTGGTTTAATCCAGTTCGGAGTAGGGTAAGTACTGCTTAGACTTGTTTAAAAGTTCAGACACAATCGATCATGGTTTTAAGGTTCATCAAACGGAATTGAAAAGTATGGCCGTGTTTACACCACAAAATCTACTGTGAGTACAGACAAGCTGATGCATCTAGGAAAGTTTAAAGGCATGGCTGGCAGGACCTAGACATATAAAAGTTATATGTAGTCTTTGTTTCAGAAAATTGAAAACTTACCCGGATTTTGATGTGCATTTTTCCATTCTGCAGAAGACAGCAAAATAAACAAACACATGAGTTTCATTTGATACGGTCCACTCAGTTACACAGTTTAAATCACCTATTGTTTACAGATGTCTATTGTCCGTCTATTATCCATTTAAATCAATACTACTCACAACATTTATTATCTGAGGGGAACTTCTCAACCCTCTTTCCCAACTTAGTTTATTTTGGCACTTTCTGCAGGAATGAAAAACTAGAGGCTCTAAAGAGCCTGTGTCGCTCACCTTGGTATATGTGCATATTAAACAAAGGACAAAGATGGATTCATGACAAAATTGTGTTTTGGTGATGGTGATGTGTTTGTAGATCTTACTTTACTGAACATTCTTGCTGCTTACAATTATCTCTATCTATAATGAACTTGGCCCAGTAGTTACAGTGGAAAATATTTTGTAAAAATTTACAAAAATTTACAAAATTTATGAAAAAATTGTAAAAAATTGACTATAAAGGGCAATAACTCCTTAAGGGGTCAATTGACAATTTTGGTCATGTTGACTTATTTGTAGATCTTACTTTGGTGTACATTATTGCTGTTTACAGTTTATCTCTATCTATAATAATATTCAAGATAATAACCAAAAGCTGCAAAATTTTCTTAAAATTACCAGTTCAAGGGCAGCAACCCAACAACGTGTTGCCTGATTGGTCTGAAAATTTCAGGGCAGATAGATCTTGACCTGATAATCAGTTTTACCCTGTCAGATTTACTGTAAATGCTTTGGTTTCAGAGATATAAGCCAAAATCTACATTTTACCCCTATGTTCTATTTTTAGCCATGTCGGCCATCTTGGTTCGCGGGCGGGGTCATCGGACACATTTTTTAAACTATATACCCTAATGATGATTGTGGACAAGTTTGGTTAAATTTGTCTTAGTAGTTTCAGAGGAGAAGATTTTTGTAAAAGATTACAAAAATTTACGAAAAATGGTTAAAAATTGATTATAAAGGGCAATAACTCCTTAAGGGGTCAACTGACCATTTTGGTCAAGTTGACTTAATTGTAGATCTTACTCTGCTGAACATTATTGCTGTTTACAGTTTATCTCTATCTATAATAATATTCAAGATAACCAAAAACGGCAAAATTTACTTAAATTTACCAATTCAGGGGCATCAACCCAATAACGGGTTGTCAGATTCATCTGAAAATTTCAGGGCAGATAGATCTTGACCTGATAAACAATTTTACCCCATGTCAGATTTGCTCTAAATGCTTTGGTTTCAGAGATATAAGCCAAAATCTACATTTTACCCCTATGTTCTATTTTTAGCCATGGCGGCCATCTTGGTTGGTTGACCGGATCACCGGACACATTTTTTAAACTAGAAACCCCAATGATGATTGTGACCAAGTTTGGTTAAATTTGACCCAGTAGTTTCAGAGGAGAAGATTTTTGTAAAAGTTAACAGACGACGCCGGACGACGACGACGACGACGGACGACGGACGCAAAGTGATGAGAAAAGCTCACTTGGCCCTTCGGCCCAGGTGAGCTAAAAAATGAATATCAAAATCCAGAAAAGTTTATAAATTTCTGAAACATAAACTGGATTCAAAATTTAATTATCTAGTTCCTGCCATGCCTTAAAACTTTTCCAGGTGCACAGGTTTGTCTGTACTCAGAGTAAAATTTGTGGTGTAAATACGGCCATGCCACGGTTAGCCAAAAGATTATGATGAACCTTAAGCTATATAAACTAGTTATGTCCATAGGTCCACTCGATTTCTTCACATGTATTGAATCGGCCCTAGTAAGAAAACATTTCAATTATTGTTGTACAATTTGGTCAGGTGCAAAAATGTTTCTAATAGTAATAGAATTTTTAATCTTAAAAAAGGCAGCATTATTAGTATTTTTGTTATTGAATTTTATACTTTATGTTGTAATATATGTATATAATGCAGGACCTTATTGTAAACTAGTCTTTGGACTAAGTATGTTATCCTGTTGAAATAAAAGACATTATTATTATTATTATTAAATTATGCTTGCCAAAGTAAATAAGCATAGGGGAATTTTATTCAGCAAGCTATTTAATGTGGCTACGAATAATATTAAGGAGAAGACATGGTATAGTAACTACACAGAGATAAATTCTACAAATACTGACTGAAGGCCATATTTGTTGTTTTTATTTCGATTTAGGACATCGTAACTTTTAGGACTATTCTAAGACACCTATGAATATATCCTAACTTTAGGACCAAATTTAGGATATATCTTATCTTAGGAGTTTTTCGTTAATCTGACTTAGGATTAAGACGTGCCCTAAGACCATCCTAACACGTCCTTGTCCTAAGACAGCTTCGTTGACACGGCCCCCGGTCAGTATGTTAGGTAAACACTTTGGACTGTCAATTTGAAAAGACGATATGCTGGATTGAGACAGAAATATTGTCCTGTACTACAACCCCTCCAAGAATTGTTGCAGAAAGCGTGCTATTCACCTTACTCAGAAAGTATACACGATTTTACTACCAATAACTTACGTCTCAAGTCAAAGCGAAAACAAATGACCAAATTATGAGCACCTCTAAAGTTTACGCTTGATTATTTTTACTACTAAGTAAATATAATTTGTCCGTTCCTAATACAACTTGACATATTTTTATACGTATACGTTCGTCATTTCTTATGGGGGGCACTTCCTATACCGGTATACAAGGTGACATAAAAATAGGTCACATTTTCCAGCTTGAAAATATGTGAATAGGTGGGGAAAAGTATCAGAAATATATGATAAGATCAATGAAGTTCCCATTATTTGTTATCTGAAAGGCCCTGTATTTTTTTCACAGCCGAAAGTCTCGCCTTAAGTAAACATTACACGAGGAATCTGAGCTCCGAGCAAAGGTGGTATTTACCAATATGGGAAAAGGTTACATTTTTACCTACGCAATATATTAAAAGGTATACATCTTTAAAATCTTAATTATATGAAAAAGGTGGGGTAACAGAACTCAAGCGGCACCCCTATCAATTAGGTATTGAAGTGTGACTTTTCCCATGTGACTAATGACTTCATTTGACGACTATGCAGTTCAAGATAATATTTACATCACCAATAAAAATAATTGGGATTTCCAACTTGACTTTTATAATGTTGACCGACTTCCTTGTATACATCCGGGAATGAACTGTTTATTCGGATCAGGGTTAATCAATTTGGCTTTTGTATACCTTATATTTGACTTTTTAAACTAGTTTCTTACGGTCATTGTTTGCAGTCATTTAAATAAATATATATAATAGAACTATATTAAATGCTTTGATTTCACAAAATATAAGTATATATGCACTAAGTCCTACTGTGTATTTGACATGGATTTTAATACAGAACAAAGTAAGTTGCATTCATTTTTAAACAACAATATCTTTTTTTTTACAAGCTAGCATACGCAATTATGATGTATTACAGATTTGTACATGAATATCATTTTTCTCATTTTCCTTTGCAAAAAACTTAGCTTCTGCTTTGTTCAAGAACACGCAACCTGTCTTGACAACCCGATTCTAACATTTGTTTTATTTTCAAACATTAGTTTTGTCAGTGTTGGCCATTTTTGTTTTCATTCTGTAAAGGCTGTAGGATATGGATAAACAGATATGTGGGGTAAACATCAACGAAATAGCAGACACACGACACAAATAACCAACCAAAATCTAGAGGTCAAAGAATACTGAAAATCTGTAGTGTTATGCATGTCAGATAAAACATTACCACTGAAACCAGTTTAAAAAAAGAGGTAGGGCCAATTACCTCTCTAAGTGTTTCATTCACAGATTTAAAATTAATATAAAAGTGGTCAAATCCTACAAATTGTAATATTAAAAGTCTATGTTATTCTCTCAGGTTATTCTAGTATGCTTCAAATATTGTGCAAGAATTTTACATAAAAATTATTCCTATATAAAATATCATTAATAGCTATAAGTTGCTGTTGAAAAAGCAGTTTGATGCATTTTGTCTCCATCCAAAATGAATTAATTTGAATCCGAAACACAATATATATAGAAATTTTTATTGCCAACATTTAAATCCATGTAGGGGCCTCGGTGGCCGAGTGGTCTAAGTAGTTACTACTGTAATCACTAGCCAGTCAACACTGAGGTTGTGAGTTCGAACCCCGCTCGTGCGGGTGCACTTGACTCCAATCTTAATTAACTAGGATTGTCAGTTTTCCTATTGGAGGTCGGTGGCTTCCTCCACCAATAAAAACTGGCCGCCACGAAATAGCCTAAAAGCGGTGCTTAAAAGTGGCGTTAAAACACCAAAAATCAAAATCAAATTAAATCCATGTAAAATATACAATAGGACTTAGTGAATACTTATATTTTGTGAAATCAAAGCATTTAAAGCTAGTTTTAATTGGTCAGCAATGTGTTCTTATACATTTTTGTACATATGAAGTACTTAACATTTGTCAAAATTGCGGTTTTGCGCTATATCGTCAGGCGTTTATAACATGGAAATCTGTTTAGAAATAAGCAAAAAATGTGTTAGAATCTCAAAGTACACACAAGGAGCCGTGTAAAACTTCGAAATAAGGTAAATATTGAAATTAATTTGTTTGAGAATGGTCTTGTTTTGAAATAACGTCTTAATTTGGAACATATTTTACTACCTTATCATATCATCATATTTGTTGGTTATTTGTTTGTTGTAAAATCTCGAGTCAAATAAGTATATTCACATGAATAGAGCAAATTTGACCAAAGCGTGTTGGTAGAATTCCGATTTATATCAGTATATGATTTACCATAATATTCCAGGTGATCGACATATCCTACCCGAAAAGAGTAGTTCTTCCAGTACTTGCGATGGGTCGCAGGGAAAGAGAAGTTCTGGAGGGTCAGGTAAAAGTATACATTGTAATGTTCCTTTAGATGTCCTCGTACAGTTTTAGGAAGATGGTGATCTACACTGTCATGAGAATAAATTCAATGACTCATTCATATTGTGATTCTAACAGCTCCCAACAAAAAATAAAAAACTCATATTCAATGGTAGCTTTAAATTTATATTTTGATTTATTCTCCTAAAAAAAAAATTGACTGATGAAAGTTCATCACATGATGAACGATAATTGAGTGTGAAGCGACATTACAATATAAAAATAAGGAGATGTGGTATGATTGCCATTGAGACAACTATCCACCAAAGTTTAGATGAAGTGGATGTACGCAATTATAGGACACCGTACAGCCTTCAACAATGAGAAAAACACATACCGTATAGTCGGCTATAAAAGGCCCCGACATTAAAAATATGAAACAATTCAATTGGGAAAAATAACGGCCTAATTTATAAGAAAACAATTTACGAAAAACAAATATGACAGACATGGATCAACGACAACCACTGAACTACAGCCTCCTGACTTGGGATAGGCACATAAATAATGTGGCGGGGTTAAACATGTTTGTGAGCGCTCAACCCTCCCCATAACCTGGGACAGTGGTGTTACAGTACAACATAATAACAAACTATGAAAAACAGATCAAAATGAACGTTTACCCAAGAGTTTCAATTGGTTGATATTGACGTTCTCACTTTGTCGTAGAAACAGTACATGGATCAGATGTAGTATAATTTCAGACAATATAAAATTATCATGTTTCTCGTAAAACATAATTTAAAACGGCATTTCTCAGAATATTTAAGAAGAGTATGTTATAAATCATTTCAGTACTGAAGAGCTAACTAATGAGCTAATGATACCATCGGGGACTAGCAATCCACCATCAGTGGTATCGACCCAGTGCTGGTAAACAAAAATAACACTTTACAGCTCTTTTCATAATGCTAGCAAGACAAAGGTTTGTTTGGCTTGCTTGCTTTGTTTGTATCAATGTTTGCTCAAGCATTGTAATTAAGATTGACACCTGAAAACAACATAAAAAGGCGGATTTAAACTTGTATACATTATATTTAAATTTGATTGAACATTATCAAATAATCAAATTTACCTATACACAGGTTTAACTCCGCCTACCTATATTGTTTGCAGATATCAATCTTAATTACAATGCTTGAGCAAACATTTATACAAACAAAGCAAGCAAGTCAAACAAACAAACCTTTGTCTTGCTAGCATTATGAAAAGAGCTGTAAAAATTTCGTGCATCCGAAGAACATTTTTAGATTTACCTTCATCAGGAACGCCCACACCCTAAAATTTGAAAGCCAATGTTAAACCCTACCACGTTTTGTACATTTACCAAGTCAGGCTATCTGGACCATGTGTTGTTTGTTTTTGTTTTTCCGTTTTTTGGAGGAGTCGGGCGTTGGTGGTTGGTGTGGTCTGTTTTATTGTTCGTTATTTTTGGCGACTCATGTTATCCCATTTTATAAGGGACGCCAACTCGGTAAGGAATTGCTAATCGAGTACTCTATGGTTTATATATCTGCCTAATTCAAATTAACATTTTCAAGTTGAATTTTCATTTTCGTCAGCAATATTTCATTTAGAATGAATTGAAAAAGATATAGCAACTGAAGAATAAAAATACCATTTAATTATTAGGTTCACATAGAATCAGATATACAAGTACGGCTTCAAGTACGGAATTTTCATATAAGGATGACATACCACTGGACACAGGTACTTCAGATAAATATGTTTTTGCAGAGAAAAATTGTTCACAGAATATAAATCGGAAATTTGTAAACCATATTCAATATAAATTAAGCAAATATGCTGTATTTGCTTACGGAAGTATTCTTTTTATCTAAACTTGTATAGATAAAATTTCAATTTATAATCAATAACTTTATTAATATTAATATTAATATCAATTTATGCCAGGTATAATACAATAACTTACAGGGGGTTAAATGTAATGTATACAGTACACTTGATACGGCTCAGTTGAACAATACTGGACTATGATTTGTTACACGTATATAAAATCATAGTCTTTTGAATCGATGAATATGTGGTTAAAATATCTTATGAATCCTTTATTTTCCCATTGTGTTTTCAAAAGATTTAAATTACATAATAATGCTAGACTAGTATACTGTAGTAAAAACTACAGAACTGTGATAATTTATCTGTAGTGTGTGTGGTTGTGTGCTTGTCTGTGTGTATGTTATGTTGATATTAATGTTAATGCAGTCGCTATTTTTCCATTTTCATTCTAAATATTCCAGTTTCCATTATGACAAATTTTGGAACAGATGATATTCACGCTGCAAGAGATACTTCAGTACCTGGCGATGACTATTCTGGAAGTATGTATTTACACGTCAAACATATTTTATTTCTAAATCGGAGTGCAGATACATACATGTAATTAGATAGAATAATCCAAATAAAGATATATAGTAGAAGCTTTTGGATTTATAGGCTTTTTATCAAAATTGCTTCTTTTTTTACCATTAGTTATTGAAGAAACTAATCCACTGACTGTGAAAAGACAGGAAGGTCTTTGGTAGCGTTTGGTCGTCAATTTTATCCAAGCATTTCAGATCCACAAATGAACCCATAACCAAACATATAACATTGTTTAAGGGTAAAATGGTATCATATATATATATATATATACGTTGTTTTCAATTTAGACTTTTATATATTTTTTCGTTTGGGCTTGTATTATATTTACCTTCGGGTTTATATGATCCGTTCATCCTATTTCGACTCTTTAAAATTCAAGAGTCTATCCTAAATTGAGATAAATTATATGGCCTTCCAAATACCGTTTCGATCCCTAACATCACTGAAGAGACATTAATTGTCGAAATCCGGATATGGTTTACAAATTTTTGCACCTCATGTTTGTGGTATACCATCTTTTCCACAAGTTTATTGTTTTCAGTTTGGTATTAAATTAATATTAAGATCCATTTCGTTAGATCTGGTGATCAATTTATTTGGCAATCGCCAATGGCAGTCAGCAGGGTTTAAGAACATCAGTTGTTCGACCTGTTAGTCAAATGCGTTTTGTTAAAATAGACTTTTTCACTTTTTTTGGTCTTTTGGAAATTGTTGTTTGTGCTGTATTTAGACCCCTCTACCAAGAAATTTGTTTTACATGCACACGTATAAAAATTGCGGTTTTTATCCAACGCAATCATAGGTTTGAACGTTGTTTTCAATTTAGACTTATATATATATATATATATATATATATATATATATATATATATATATATATATACCAAAGATATCCACATTGCAAAAGAGGCGAAAGATAGAAAATATACATTCAAAACTTATGAGTCGAAAATTAACGGACAACGCTATGGCAAAATGAAATTAAATACGATGAAAAGACCAACACGTCCGCAAAACACAACGTAGGAAACTAAAGACCGAAAAGAATGAGAAACACGAACCAAACTTAAAACTGGGGGGATATCAGGTGATCTGGAAGGGTTAGCAGATCCTGCGCCACTAGTGGCACGCGTCATGTTGTTCATGCCTTCTTGTGGACTGTTACTTTATGAATTATCATGTTTAAAAATTCGTTTCAGCGTATCAGTCTAGTGCAAAGAATGGTTCAAATTGACCTGTTTTCGTTCTGATACATATGCATGCAACACACTAATTTGTAATCATGAATATCATCATGATCGTCATCATCATCTGTGCATACGTATTGTCATTTGAATGACGCATGTATATTATGCTGAACATTTTATCATTTTTATAGGTTCACAGATGAATGTATCAGGAAAAACTGTCTTACTTGGGGAAACTATAAATTGCATAATTCGAAACGCCGAAGAAGATGAAAGTAAACGGAGTAAGTAAATTTTCAGCTAGTTTAATCAATAATCAACAACAGTAGAGCATTAATGAGCTTATCTGTTAGCTTGAATTACCTCATAATAATAAGACCAACAATGAAGCTACACACAAAGCAAAAAAATATATATTAAAAATTAGGTCAATGTCAGTTAGATATCAACTTTTTATGCCCCCGCCGTATCGGAAGGGGTATTAAGTTTTACCCTTGTCCGTCCTCAATTCAAGTTTCCGTTCTCTAAATTTAGGTGGCGTCACTATAACCGTTGTAGAGTTATGCCCCTTTACAAATGGAAAAATTCCTGAATTTTTCGTTTCCGTTCTTTAACTTTAGTTTGTCTCAACCAAATGTTATGAAACTTATACACAATACTTATTACTACAAAACACAGATTACGCTTGAATTTTAGTGGCGTCACTTTAACCGTTCTAGAGTTGTGTCCCTTTACAAATGGAAAAATTGCTGAATTTTTCGTTTCCGTTCTCTTACTTTAGTTTGCCTCAACCAAATATTACGAAACTTATATACAATGCTTATTACCACAAAACACAGATGAAGTGTACATTTTGGTGTTGTCACTTTAACCGTTCTAGAGTTATGCCCCTTTATAAATGGAAAAAATGCTGAATTTTTCATTTCCGTTCTCTAACTTAAGTTAGCCTCAACCAAATGTTATGAAACTTATACACAATGCTTATTACCACAAAACACAGATCAAATTTGAATTTTGGTGGCGTCACTTTAACCGTTCTAGAGTTATGCCCCTTTACAAATGGACAAATTGCTGAATTTTTCGTTTCCGTTCTTTAACTTTAGTTTGCATCATCCAAATGCTTCGAAACTTATATACAATGCTTCTAACCGTAAAACACAGATCGAGTGTGCATTTTGGTGGTGTCACTTTGACCGTTCTAGAGTTATGACCTTTATAAATGGAAAAAATGCTGAATTTTTCATTTCCGTTCTCTAACTTAAGTTAGCCTCAACCAAATCTTATGAAACTTATACACAATGCTTATTACAACAAAATACAGATCAAGTTTAAATTTTGGGGGTGTCACTTTTACTGTTCTAGAGTTATGACCCTGTACAAATGGAAAAATTGCTGAATTTTTCGTTTCAGTTCTGTAACTTACGTTTGCCTCAACCAAAGTTTATGAAACTTATACACAATATTTATTACCACAAAACTCAGATCAAGTACAAATTTGGGTAGTGTCACTTTTACCGTTCTTCAGTTATGTCCCTGTATAATTTTATATGATATGCTAGCGGGGACATCATCTGTGTCCCATGGACACACTCCCCATTTATTTTAAATGTGTCTTAGAAGGGCGAGGTTAACAGAGCTCTTCAACAGTTTGGTGCCGAAAACAAAAAAGGTGATATAATCTGACATTAATTTAATATTATGTTACAGCTTAAAAGGGGCTACATGTTTAGTTATGAAAATGTTAACACAAATATTTAAACTTATTTTCCATCCCTAAAAGTGACATCCCATGAAATCGACATTGCACGAAATAGAACATTGTTACTATATTTGGTATAGAAAGATAACAGGAAGTGTTCTAGCTGCAGTATTAAAAATATCGTATTTTTTTTCTATTTAGGAGAAGAGATCTTCAAAGAACAGTTTCAGTCAGTGGACGATGTATTTGTTGAGACTAAAGGTTATGCCCAGGCAAAGGAAAAGCTAGAGAAAAATCATACTGTTTTAATAACAGGCTCGTCTGGAGCAGGTACCACACTCATAGCAAAGAAACTGGTAAATGAGAAAATTTTACAAGGTTATACTTTGAAAGAAATTGATAATGTAGCACAACTGCGGCAAATTCATTGGAAAAATCAGCAAATCGTTTTAATGGACGATCTTTTTGGGTACATAAGTAACAGAGACGACGAAAATCAGAAACTTGTTTCTGAAATCGGATTCGTTATTGAAGAAAGACGTAGAGATGATGGATTTTTATATGTCGTCATGACATGCAGAAGAAGTGTCATTCAACGGATCAAACCATGCCTGAAAAGTAATCGGGTTTTAGATAAATCGAATATAGTCGATTTGTCGGAATTTAAATTGTCTCAACAGGAACGACTACAAATACTAGAAAAACACCTTAAACGATACAGACCTAACGAAAATCTAGACCAAACAATAAAACAGGCGATCAGCAAATGCAAACTTCCAGGTTATCCTAATTGTGTATATATGTTTACTCGCAACGACAAATTATTTAATCAAGGGAAACATTTTTTCATTTTCCCTACTGAACATGTGCAAGAGGAAATACACGTTCTTCGTATAAATGATCCAGACGTTTACGCATTATTATTATTTATCCTGATTAAAGACGGGGAGATTAAAGAAAAAACATTGCAGTCGCTTGGCGATAATTGCAACGAATTCCATCTTTTGCAAAATATTGCCCACTTTCCAAGTGCTATACAATTGGGTCTTCGACTTCACTCTGCCTTAAAAAGGGTTGATGCAGCATTTGTCACACAAGAGAGCTCCACCATACAGTTCAGGCATTCATGCGTTTTAGAAGCTATGTGTTTATCGTTTAGCCAAACTCTTGAAAATCAAGCAGTTAAATGGCTACCGTTTGATTTTATTGTAAAACGTATCAGAACTGATAAATTTGAGAAATCAAATGATTATGAAATAGTAACAATAGGGCCGTCTGTATTCGATGATTTGGCAGAAAGATTTATCAATGAAATAAAGTTTGGAAATATAGCTGAAGTTTGCAAACACGAGGCATTCACGAACGGTAGATTTGTTACAACTTTTTGTGCAATTTTAGAAGGTTTTTTGCAAGAAGATGTTGACATGCTCCGATTCATTCTGCAAGTTACAGAAAGGGAAAACCATTTAGGAGCATTATTTAATGGATCTTTATTGTACTGGTCGGCCTCTTTAAAAGCAGAGCTATTATGTTCGTCATTACTTGCAAAACATTTTTATGACAATATCAAAGACAAGTTTTGGGTTCGAATTCAAGCATCTGCTGCTCTTGTACCAGCATGCTGGTATGGGTTCCAGGAAACAGTTTTGGATTCATTGCTCCAATTAGATGCCGATATAAACAGTGCAATTCACAAAGAGCGCAGGTCGCAAACCCACTTTTGTGATTTTTGTACTGTTCACGACCAAGATGGAATGAGTGGTATTCAGGCTAGTGTATTTACAGACAATTTACCGAAATACGAAACACTTGCTTATCTACTGACAAATGGGGCTTGTTTTAAAGAAGGTTCTGACCACAAACCGTTAATAAAAGCCATACAAATTTACGACACGGCACTAAAATCCGACCTTAGAAATATAGCAAAGAAGACTATACATGCATTATTAAACGGAGGTGCTGACGTTAATTTGAAGGATCGACATGAAAAAACAGCTCTTTGGTATGCCGTTTTTAACGACAGTATAGATATTGTAGAACTCTTAATTGCTAAATCACAGTTTATTTCATCCCAGTCCTTACTTCCTTTTTCGAAAAGTATTGAAATGGTGAAATTGATAGAACAACATGGTATCGATAGAACCTTTGACCAGACAGACACCAGTGGTAAAAGTCTTTTGCATCGGGTCCAACACGAAAGTTTAATTTCTTATTTCATCAGCAAAGGTTGTTCGTTAGAACGTAGAGACAGAAATGGGCGAACTCCCTTGTTCTACTCCCACACTCCGGCTATTTATAAAGAACTCATTGCTAGAGGGTCTTCCATCAATATTACAGATAACGATGACAAAACTATTTTCCATTTTATCAAAAGACATGATATCCTAGAATGTATCTTAAGTACCTCCTCCGATGAAGATATTCATCGCAACATTAACAAAGTTGATAAGTTAACTCGTACTCCGATTTTTTCATGCACATCACAAAATATCATAAAGCTATTCCTAGAACATCATGCCGATGTCAACCATCAAGCCGAAAAATGTAGCGCCAGCGAGAGTGAAACAACTCAAGGAGAATGTATTTACGACGTATCAATAGATCCAACAACAAAACTAACGAAACCGTCAAATATTTATTCAGCTAGATTTATTTTGAGCCTTCAAGATTGTCCATCCGAAGTTTTGTCCAATGAAGCTAGACCATTTGATGAAGCAACAAATACGATTTATACTGGTCACCACACATCTGACATATCTTCAGAATCACTTAGTTCAACCAAATCTTTGAACGGAAGTACCAATAGCGAAAACAGCAACGGAGAGAACTTTGAAGATCCGGATACCAAAAACTATACAGTTACTATGAAACTTGCCCTTACCGGAAAGCTAACAGTTGAAATTGTAGACCTTTTGATTTCATATGGAGCAGATTTTAGTTTAAAAGACTGTGAGGATAAATCGATTCTTCATTGCATACTTGCGCCGGAAAACAAAATCAGACAAGTAGCAGACGTGGTTCAGAAAGTTCTGGGAGCTTCCAAATCAAAAGATATACTAAACCTGCAAGATGCATATGGAAACACTGCGCTCCATTTAGCAAGTTCATGCAAAGAAATAAATAAGTTACCACCTGAAAACAAAACTGCAGTTATTGAGATTTTACTGAAAAACGGAGCAAAGATACATCTACTTAATAGCAACAACGAAACTCCTCTTCACTGTTTGTTGAAGTGTAACTGTTTAGGGAAGTACGATGCCTTAGTTTTGATAGCAAATTATTTCCATGGAACCTTAAACGTTTATTGTCCAAATCAAAGGGGTGAAGTACCACTTGAGCATCTTTGTTTAATCATGGATCAGTCGAAACATTTTATAACTGACGCTAGAAAAACAATAATTTTTTTGTACAAAAACGAATTATTGAAGGATTACCTGTTATCAAACCTTGATTTTGTCTTCAAAGATTGCAACATAGCATTACTAGACGCCATTGTACAATGTTGTCCTGAAATCCTCTCGAGGGAAAGTGAAGAGTTGATTAATTATTTTAAAAACAGAGAAAACTTTTTAATCGTACGATTTTGGGTACTTTTGTCCTTTATCGATATACCCGAACGATCAGTTTGGATAAACCAATTAAAACTTGAAGTTGATGAAAGCCATTCCTTGCTTAGAGATTGCATATTGCAAATTCATGAAAGCGAAAGACTTACAGCTGTTCTTGAAACATTACTGAACCATGTCTCGGATATAAATTCACGAACCAAAGAGGAAAAACCTTTGCTCATTACAGCCATAATGGCATGCAGGTATAAAAGAAGTGATACTATTATCCACCGGATAGTTCGAGTTTTTCTTAATCTTGGAGCAGACCCAAATGTACAAGATAAAGACGGATTAACTCCCTTTCACCACTGCATTTTATCCAGCGCCAGAGATGAACGAGTTCTTAAATGCGCGGATCTGCTCCGAGAAAAGAAAGCAAAGTTTGACATTGGGAGTTCACTTTTATTAGCGTGTGATATAAACAGACTAAGAACGAAAACGATAAAATGTTTGCCTTCTAGTGTTTTACCATATCAGAAAGATGAAAAAGGAAATGCTTTACATCATCTGGTTTTAGCTTATTCCAAATATGGACGCAGTTTCCGAGTTTCGACGTCATCATTGATCGCTCTTGTTGATAGAGGTGTTGATATCAATATGTACAACGACGACGGGGAAACACCACTTCATGTTGCGATGAAACAACAAGTAATGTCTCATGTCATAATAGAATTGTTGCGAAATGGAGCAGATGTAAATAAGAAGAAACACCTTCCGGTAAATGGAAATACAAATCCGGAAAAAGACTGTAAAGCTCTACACAAACTAGAAGAAACTTGTGTAAATGATGAGAGTAGATCTGCGTTTCAATATATGCTTTTATACTTGAACACAACAAACATGGCAGTGGTACGAGAAATGTTAAAATATGGGGCGGATCCATTTCACAAAGACATTCATGGACAAAATTCTTTCCATCATATCACCAGCATGATCAGACCGAATTCTCTAAAAATTTTGCTAATGCTCTTACACAAGTTTGAAAATTCTCAACGTGAAATAAACATTCAAGACAATTATGGAAACACTCCATTACATAATGCATGCACTTTTGGTAATAATGACAAAGTATGGTGTACTTCTTTGCGTGTTGCTGTTATTCGCATACTACTGGCCAAAGGTGTGAACTTAAATGAGGTTAATAGACTCAAGCAAACACCCTTTCATTTACTTATCTTTCAATATCATAAATTTGTCACAAATTACCGTAGTGAAAATGAGAAATTCGTACATAACATTGTAGCTTTAATAAGCTTGTTTCTTTCATACGATGTTGACATGGAGATTAAAGACCAAGGAGATAAATCAGCTTTGGCCTATGTTGAAATGTGGAAACTGAATGATATAAAACAATTGATTGATAATGAAATGGCTCCCGAGGATTTATTCAGGTTGTTTGAAGTTCAAAGTACGACGCGATCGACGACTGAAGCCATTGTTGATTCTGAAGTCAACTGAGCACAGCTCATAACTTTTTGTGAATGAAGCAACTAATTCCATGCATAAACGTCATCGTCTGTCAAACGATAAATTCAATAAGCTACCAAAGAAATTAATAAAATGCTTCAATGCAAAATTGGATAAAAACACCACAAATGAAACAATCAAAAGTAAATTCTTTTATACAATTTTGAATGTAAAAATGAATGTTACCTTCCGCAAATAATCAATAATAGAAAGTCAGCATAAGGACACTTGAAAATACACACAATGCAAAATACATCCGTTCAATTAGGATTCTTATCTTCTCGCTTTTAGCTTATATTGTTTCTTTTCTAACTGTAATAGAATATAATCATTATTGTTTTTTTTTACTTGTTAATGAAAATTAAAAATGAAATGAACAGTTGTTTAAACATATTAAATGTTTTAGTTTCTTCAAAGAATCATCAAAAATTGAATTGATAGTAGCACAGTTATTAATAAATCCCGGTTGCATTTAGCATAAAGATGCCTGACTATGATAGAGTGTAAGGTATCTCTTGTTTTCATTAAAATTGCCATTGAAGAAAAATGCCCGCTTACACAGACATGTCAAAGGAAAGTGTTTCTTCGTAAGAGTCTATTTCAAGGCGACAGTTGCTTACCGACGTTCAAATCTTATAAATCGACCAAGAAGATAAAATTCAAGATAACAAACAAAAACTTGAGGAAATCAAATAAACCCAACAAGGAGCGAGGTTGGGTGCGTTGACAGGGTAAGCTCAAGGTAACAAACAAAATCTAAGGATATCGCATGCCCCTTAATATGCGCAGTGGCAGATCCAGGGGAAAGGGGGGGGGGGGTTCCGGGGGTTGAAACCCCCCCTTTTTTTGACGAACAATGCATTTAGAAGATATCGCATAATTTGACGCTTAAATGTTAAAATAGAAATATGGACTACATAGTATATATATATGTATGAATTAAACAAATACAAACGCCCGGGAGCTATAACTACGTAAACACTGTGCCTCACAAGATTAGACAGTCATTATCCAAGGTCTTGTGACATATACGAAAGGAAAATTCTACAAATCAATATCGCAAAGCACCATGAAAAATGAAACGACAAATGCATGGATGCTGCCACCGTAAGATCTGCTGCTTCTAACATATTATTTTTTCTTTAGAGAGAAACATTTCATAAGCATTCTTTAGGCAAATTTTACCATTACAAATTGTGAAATTACATCCCGATGTTTACCTAATCCGAATTATTCAGTCGTAATATTTTGCTACTCAGAGTAGCGTGGGCTAATTTTCACGAGTGGGAGAGACGACTATCGGGAGGGACTGAATTACTCGCGTTAATGTAAACTTCCAAAAGGCAATAAACGCAGCAAATGAAATAAAGAAATGAGTTAAAACAACTAAATAGGTAGTCTGGGTAAAAAAGGGGGCACTGGTAGTTTCAAACGCCTATTTGTTTAAAAGCGGACTCTATATCAAATTTTGATCACAATGAAAAACCAACTAATTTTCGTATAACTTTGATCGCATCGTCTAATCTGACAGACGTCATTGAACACAATCTTCTTTACTGGTCAAGTCCATTATACTACAATTATCAGCATCATCATGTTGGGGTTGATAAATCCAATGTAAGCCCCTTTTTCCCCGGAGTACTTCCAATCAGCAAGTTTCAAATGTCTGACTCGATAATGAATAGACGGTGGGTTTTATACGGACCTGACAAGAAACCTTTTTCGAATTCTTTGTCAATAAGCTGCCGTACAAAGAAATGTTGAGAGCGAGCTGAAAAGTTATTCTTACACTCAAGTGTCGGCTTATCATATAAAAATAAGAAGATATGGTATGTTTGCCAATGAGACAAAACTCTACAATAGACCAAAAGACACAGTAATTAACAACTATAGGTCACCGTACGGTCTTCAACAATGGGTAAAACCCGTACCGCATAGTCAGCTATAAAAGGCCCCGAAATGACAAATGTAAAACAATGCAAACGAAAAAACTAGCGACCTGATTAATAAAATAATGAACTAACAAACGAATATGATATACAACAACAAACGACAACCACTGAATTACAGGCTCCTAACTTTGGACAGGCACATAAATAATGTGGCGGGGTTAAACTAATTTGAAGGCGTCAACCCTCCCCTAGTACCACATAAGAGCAAACTATAAAAATCAGTTGAAAAGGGCTTAACTCATCAGAAGGATACAAAGCAGAAATACATCAAACAAAAAAAAAACAGTGGACGTGGCAGGGTACTTATACATCCCCACAACAAAAAAATACTAAGTACATATCTGAGAGTACTCAGTTACTGGCAGTTATTTCAAAGCTAGTTCAAAGTTAATAACAACTAATAAAAAATCATGTATCTAAAACTAAAATAACAACCAGTGTACATCCAACATCCAACATCCAATGGATTTAGTGTAAAGACGTCATTAACAGGCAGAGAAAACATGACCTTTTGCAATGCCAAGATATAGGTATTGACAGATTGTAGAGCCATGAATGTGCATATGTTTATCCAAATAATATTTCGTTTGATTTTAATTTACTGATAATAAAATCAATATAATACCAAAATAAAAACTATATTCAAAGATCTAATTATAGTGTTGAATTGGTAACCTTTTAGAATAAATTTATTTAAAGGATCGATAAGTTTACCCGGATCGTATCTAAATATTAAGGCACGGTAAAAATTAGGATGTGCTATCCCGTTTGAAATAAGTTTTCTACAGGTACAACCAAACTTCCAAACCAAATCTTTATATCTATGGAAGAATTTAGTAAAGGTTTTAAGTAATTTGTGGTAACGAAATCCCTGACTTAATAATTTACCAGTAATACATAGATAACGTTTATTGAAGTTCAAAACGTCACAATAGAAACGGGCATAGCGAACGAGTTGTGATATATAAACACCATAAGATGGTGCCAAAGGAACATCACCGTCCAAAAAAGGAAAATTAACCATAGAGAACGAAAAACCGGTCGAAAAACTTTATTGCCGAAACGTGCATAAATATTATCAAGGAGAAAATTAACAGATTCAATCATCTCATCTCACCTCCAGTAAGTATTTCTAGCATATTTACCTTTTTCATTAGAGAAGAAGGCTTTAAATGAGTTGCAACAAATATATTTGCATTCAGATTTACCAAACGACCATTCAATTAAATAGGAAAACTTTTGTTTGATAAGATTGTATGTAAAAGTGTAGTGTAAGGAGTTGAAAAATCAGAACTGTCAACAGAATCATTGATTGATTGATTGATTGGTGTTTAACGCAACTTTCAACACTATTGTGCTATTTCGTGGTGGTCAGTTTTTATTGGTGGAGGGAGCCAGAGTGCCCGGAGAAAATCACCGACCTTCGGTAGGATAACTGACAATCCTAGTCGATTAAGATTGCACACGAGTGCACCTGCCCCGTGCGGGATTCGAACTCACAACCTCAGTGCTGACTGGCTAGTGATACAGTAGTTGACTACTTAGACCACCGGTCAACATATTCAAAAGGACCATCAAAAGCACGTAATTTATCTTAAACATCCAAAGAATTTTTTACACTTCAAAAAAAGTTAATTCCACTATTTCATATGTTCATACAAAAGTTAATGATAAGTTCTTTGATAGTAGTTAAGGAACTAGTTAAAAGCACTGTAGTTGTAGAACACTTACTAGAGGTCGTGATGAAACGATATCTTACTGGTTATTTGTGTAGTTTATGTAACCAATACATAGTAGGGACCTTCAAATGTTCAGAAGAGGCCTTAAGCTGTGATGTGGTTATGATATTATTGTTTACAATATGACTCTCTGTGGAGCGCACGGACTTGAATGTAGAAGAATTTAATCATAGTGTCCAACCCCTCGTTTATCCCATTACAAAGATAATTAAAAAAAACTTATATCCGAATGTGTTTACAATAATTCATGTAGCAAGTTAACATTGATTGGTGAATTTTCGATAACAGGAATTGTTACTAGACATTTTTTTAACCTTCGTTAATTGTTGTCGATCCTCTAGAAATTTTAATCTTTTGAATATATTAACTTGTACTGTGTTGCAGTTGAAGGATGAATGAAAAGCGAATCAAGAACAGCAAATGTGAGACAATGAACAACCCGGTCTGACACAGCCCCTTTTGATGTTATCGTTATTGCAGATCTCTTTACCATCGTGCAAACTCGTGTTCTGTCCCTCCTATCAACGCGATCGGAAGATGGTCTATTCTTCGAATTTGTTGCATGTCCGTAACGTAGCAAAGTCTACATACTTCTGGCCTTGCATCCGGAGCTTAAATCGTAAGAATGTCATTGTCTTTTACTCCCCAGTCAAATCTAACTTTGAAATCGTGCATTACAGCTTTGGCGACAAAAAAAGTTTTATTATATTCATAAAATATCAAACCAACTGTATGTATGTTCTGTATCTTCCTCCTTTAGTAGAAGCACCACCATGGGTTATGTGTAAAGGGGGACATTTAAAACACTGTATCGGAACAGACTTTATGTGAGCATTTGTCGACCTAGTTTCCCAGCCTGGCCGTGACGAGTCTTACTACCAGAAAGTTAACCTTTCCCAAAAACAATAAGTACAACGCAATAAAACATACGAACACACCCACTCACCTGATTCGCTCATCCTCAAAAATATAAAAAATGCAAAATATAAAAACAGTTACATGTATATACAAAATAAAGGATAAGATCACCCCGGATGCCGCACAAATGCCAAGGCAACGAACTGGAAACCGGTAAGGACATACTTTGATTCCAAACCGATACCGCCAAATGCCCAGCTGTTTTCCTGTAGAGGAAAGCCGAAAATCCGACGATAAAGGATCTCGGAAAGAAACTACCGATCCATTAGGGGAACAGCTAAAACCCTCAGACATCAAATAGATTGGTCTGATAGTTTCCCACATGGAAACTACTAATGGATCCTATCTGTTCACATGTCTCAAACAAACCTGAAAATATCTGCAGAAACTTTCCTCAACAAAAAAATATAATCCAAAACATAAAATATACGGGATTCTTTGATAGTCATCAATCTATGAAGCCGGATATACTTTTTTCCTTGCAAATAAATTCCAAGACCACTGATAGTATGTTAAGTACTAGCTGCCTGAACGGAATCGTTATCTTTATTAACAAACCAGCTTAGTTAACGTCCCTACCTTTAATTATTTACTATTTAAACGCTGGTGGAATGATATACAAGAAAGACACAGAAGATGGCGACACTCCGGATCCGTTAATTGTACATGTAGAGGTGTTGAGGCAGAGAGTTATGTCGCAATCAGATTCATGAGTAGAACACTTCACCAATTGTATAATGTATACCCATGATCATCTTCTGTGTGTACATGAGGAATTAACGTATCTTGTAGATTTCAAGAAAACTCCGCTGATAAAGGAGTGATAGAATATTTGTGTAGTTAGAATTTATAGAATTTCTTAATTCTATCACA